TGTTCAGTCTAAACTGTTTCCCACTTCCCCAGTGTTTTGAGTTCAGTAACGTCTGGCCTCAGTAGAACTCTCAGCTCTGCCAAATTAGTATTCGGATTAAAATGTCGAAACCCCACATGTTTTACTTGAACTTTTTAGCATACATGTATCATGTTAGATCATTAATGAAAGACCGATCTTATTTAACACTGTACTCTCCTTGTTGCTGTAAGTAGGTGGTATTTAACACTTTTGTTATCTTCCTTTGTGTCAGAGCCTTGTACAGGTAAATATACCATTGCCTTTTTACAGTGTGGTTAATGGTACCTTTAATTTCTGACCATTCTGTCCTTATACGCATGTGGCTACCTATAGATCTTGCAATATCCTGATCAAACGATCTCTTGTTATTGCCCCGAGTTCATTTGAAATACTTCTTAGTCGTTTTGCGCTTTAAAACCTAGCAATTTCATCGCCTGGCCACTCACTGTGTGATGATTGGAAAAGACCATCGTAGGAGGGACGACTTCAAAGTGCCCTTGTTAATGGCTGAATTTAATGAGAACTAGGTGTGGATACTATTGCAGTCGAAATAAGATCTTCCTATACCAAAGAGAATTAATTGGATCACCTCAGGCTATCTTAACGAAGTAAAAGCTGAAAAGAGAAAAAAAAACACATTTTAGAAAATACCACTTGGTCCGGACGTGTCCTGCTGCGCCTGCGCAATACTGATTAAAGACTCCTGGAACACTTTTTTCTCCTTTTTTTTTTTTTTTTTTTTTTTTTTTTTTTTGCACTATACCTTATCCTGTGCTGTTGCGGTGTCCTTAATTGATGTGACACGACACCGGCCCCATCTCCCAGCCAGCGTTTACAGCTCTTGCAATATTTCCCTTGTTAGGTCTTGTAAATTAATGGGTAACCTTTAAAACTCAAAGCTCTGCTGTTTGAAGATTGGGGTCATTTGTCGCATTTGATAAACACAAAAAACCAACTACCTCTCTGAAATACTTCCCGGTCATTTATTAAAGAATGTACCGAGGTTCTCCTGAATTAAGCTAAATAGATGTACCGGGGTAGAAATTAAGAAAAATTAAAGAGTAGGATTATTTAAATCTTGGTGTTGTTTCACAACCGTTTAAAATTTACTAGCAAGGATTGTTTTTGCCAGGACAAACCGTTAAACTGTACCAGAATAGCTTAGAGCTGGACTGTCTAAAAACTGCGTGCAAAATGACAAAGACAAGAGTGAAAAACACCTGACATTTACTCTCTCCGTCTCTTTAACATTGGCTGAAAATTTAAACTACGGGGTGTAACAAAAACCCGAGAAACCACAAAAATCTAAGTTTAACTTCTGATTGATACAAGTGTACTGACATCCTTCATTCCAACCACATTTTTAGAACAGTTCTTATGAAAATGTGGTAGTTTTTGAAAAACACTTACACGAACCAGACTTTTCCTCTCCGGGAAATAAGTTGGCTAGATATTTCTGCTCTAGTATAGATTTAGTACTTCTATTTTACACTTTGTTTACTGCATGTTATTGCTCTAGTTCATCTTTAAATACATCTATTTTTATCACCAAGAAAGACCCAAAGAGGCGTTAATGTTTACATCCCGCCAGTTACAGGTAGATTGTTAGCCTCCTGTCTACCTGTAATACCCAGAGCACAATAAAGAGAACTTACACATGTGATGGGAATGGCTTGATGACTCACAATTCATAAAAACGTTAATCACACCCGCTGCTGGTAAATGACCTTTTAGCGTTTCATGGAACTTTACTCGAAAGCAGCGCAGTAAACTAAGCCATAATGTATTGCCTTGGGCTAATATGAGGACGAGATACTGGGAATAATATTTGAAAATTCTTGTCATACTGTGTTAGAATAATAAAAAATGGACCTGAGTAAGGCGAGACATTGGGTAAACACATGATTAGGTTATTTATGAACTAAACGGATATATCAACTCACCCATCTACATATAGCCAAAGCAGGGACATGTCACCCTTGCTGTTTTTGTTTTTTTCTTCTCCGTTTGGTTAGTAAATGTGTCTTTGTTAATTTATTTGTTTAATTGATTGCTTGTTTACCTGTTACCCTCCCCGTTTGTTTTGATACTCCTTTCTTTCTTAAGTCGTCATTTATTTATTTGGTCATTGTTTTCGGTAGATGCGTTTTCACATGGGGGTGGGGGGGGGTGGGGTGGGGTGGTGCACTTAACAGAATTGTTAGCTGTAAACATAAATATGTACAGATTAGTACAATGCATCTGACAGCATTTCTCTCACCGTCCAGTTCAACATCTGTTCTCGTTTTTACAGGGCAGTTGGTTCACGCGGAATGACCAGTTAATACAAAGAACCGCCACAAGTGGACCGCACTCTTAAACCAAATAATCTGCCTGAAAACCATGGGGTTATAATTAGAGGCAGGTATATGTAGAGCAACAAAGCTCCGCCCCAAACTGGAAAGCATATCTAACAACATGGCGTTACGTCATATACGTATTAAACAACATGTCGTTACGTCATACACGTGTTGCTGTCATTCATGTTTTCGTTTCATGGTATGGAGCAGGTGTTTGAACAACGCCCGTGTTGCAATGTTAAAACATACACTACCTACAGGTTGCTTCTTAATTAAATCGCCCTAAAGCAAAGTCTAGGAACGAAGTAAAATTTACAAACAACTTCAAGACGTCGAAGTGAATCATTTTACTAATTCAGTTTTATCTTATATATTGAGATGGAATAGCATTTTATATGGAAATAATCGTTTTGAAAATATCAGTTTCTGTGCTTGGAAGCTAACAACGAAGGGATGCCCTAATATTTGAAGGAAGTTATGTGCTGTTTACAAGGAGAATCCCTACGGGTGTTATTCCTGTTTACGATATATAACGTACAAAATATCAAAAAGACTGTTTTTGAATTAAGCTTTGAAAAAACAAGAACATCTTAGCACCATTTTCAATTTATTATTATTATTAGTAGTAGTAGTAGTAGTAGTAGTAGTATTTTGTAGAAATTTACAAATGAAATACCAAATAAATAAAATAGGGACAGGGTGAATAGACAGAAAAAAAAAACAATTGAACATAAGGACATACGATGCACAAACCTGCAGATATGTTTTATCTTATTTTCCACTATATATGAGGCATCGTACAGTCATCAGTCCTATATATTGAAGAGTAAAAGCCCTACATTTGGGATGTAATTTACCTTAAGTGGAGAACGAACCACCTCAACTTCCTGTAGCTGTTATACATAATAATAATAATAATAATAATAATAATAATAATAATAATTTTATTAAATATTTTATTAAATATTTTATTAAATAAATAATCCCACCCTACTAAGGGTTATGAGAGACTAAAAATGTGCTACTGCATTTAAAATCCATAAAAGTTCATTAAAATTGTTAATTATCAATAAAACATTAAAAATATACATGTGGTCATGTCCTCAACTATAAAATACATGTAGGGGGCCTATTTGACCAAAGTTTAGAACTAGGGACACAGAGCGGGGGTCGGGGGGGGGGGCGGGCGGTTATTTCCTTAAGCAGACTCCACTGTATTAATCGATTGAACAAAGATTATAAACCTTCTGGCGCTGATTTTTTTCTATTTATTGTTCACGCTAAGAGGTTTGTCGTTTTTAGTGACCGAGCGATGAACCCCTTCGATCAGTTTCACGTATGTTACTTTGTCCTGACACACGTTTTTATTATAAAGACATGGCTTTAATCCAATTTCAGATTGCGAACGCTAAGTGCTTTTTTTCGCTTCAAATCATCGTTATATGTTGGACATACGCTGCCGTCGGTTTTTTTTTGTTTCACATTTACAGTTTAACGTCACTGATGCTACGGGCTCTCATTTTTTCTTCCAAATTATAGAATGATAGAAACCTCCGAATAAAGTGTTTGGTAAACACTTCCCCACGGGAACAGCGAAGTATAATAATAATAATAATAATAATAATAATAATAATAATAATAATAATAAAATAACAAAGACATTTCAATACTAAGCAGCGCAGAAATGATATTGTAGATAATACATGTAGTAACAATATAGTCGATTAAAGTAATAAGCCATTCATGTGTGACTGATCGACCCTTCAAAGATATTTTGAACGCAATATAATAATTGCAGCGTGGCGCGGAACCTAGTACTATTCAATTATCTCAGATGTTTTTCTAAAGGCTGTTCAGTTTAAATCCCTAAGTGATTAGATAGCTACGTTTATTAAGTTGCCCAGCCCTCATCTTCTTTCTCTATCTTGTTTTATGACAGTTGCTTTCCCCTACTCATCCAATACTACTTTATATTCCTTCTTTAATGCTTCCATTTTTTTTTTTCATTTCAAAATATATATAAAACCTTGTATATCTATTGAAGTGTCGGTACGTCAAGTGATAGCTGTTACACATTTCTCTCTTTAGGCTCCCAATTCTCGGGGGAAATTTATTGGTATATTGGAATAAACCCATGTCAATTGTTAGCTAGCGTTATCAATAGGAGGAGCAGAAAATAAAACGTAGTCAACATTAGTTATTTAAAATCATTTATTCTCTTATACGCAAGTCCACATTTCAAAGAGCGTTACAAAATCACGCTCTAACATAAATAAATAATGGAAAAGCTTTGATTAAACGAACTCGATCAGCTTTTATTTTCAATGTGGAGGTTGTGTGATTTATAAATGAAAGAGTCCAAGCCCATTTATTATTAAGATCCTAAATATACTGTTTTCTGAAGTTCTTGTGTAACAACTCCAACGGTTAACGACTGACTCCGGCGCGGTGCGCTAACTGTGTGATCTATCCGTCATAATGGAATACCCAATGGGACATGTAGGAACCTCCTAGACTCGCTCTGGATGAAACACTTTGCCTGCTCTAGGAAACGATGAATCGATTCTGCGCATTGCGGCCTTACCGTCGCCTACAAAAGAAGACTTGGCGGTTATATTTAGCTCATTCAGTTGACGCATCAAAACACGATCGTTGTTTTTTAGTGAAGTCATTGTTAGCCAGGGGTAGGTTTGCATGCAGAGCACGACCAGAATATTGACGTCGTATGAACACAAAGTAAGGTTTTAGGACTGGTTGGTGAGATGCAGTGTAGTGTATGTGTGTGATGATGGTGTTTCAGGAACCGAGGCGGTCTGTCCTTGGAGCCACTGCAGAGACTAGCGTACCTAATGAGACGGAGAATTCCTTCCGACTGTTTGAAAATAGTACATTGATGAATTTACCGGGAGACGTCGGAAACTATACGAGTATATTTACAGAATCTATTCACTCGGAAGGTAGATTAAGCGACGCCTCTACAAGTGGAGACGAGCCCTTTCCGCACGCGGCGGCATATATCCTCACCATGCCTGCGGAACCAGAGAGCACAATGAGCTCGGTTTTCACTGCAAATACCTCCTTGGTGACAAAAAACAACGGAGCAGATTCTCCAGAGGTCGACTCGGGAATTTATGGAATAATATTCCAAATCATAGTTCTCTATATCCCTCCATTTATATTAGTAGGGGGTATAACAGGGAACATACTGGCGTTCATCGTGACCTTTAAGAAACGCCACAAACATATTACGGCTTATTTCTTCATATCTGTGATGGCGATATTGGATACTGTGATGTTATTGTTCTTTCAGAGCACGTACTGGCTTTTCTTTAATTTTTTCTCGGATAGTAACACAGATGCCCTATGCAAAGGAATGACACTGTGCGAAAAGATTGTCGCTGACTGTTCCATCTTCACGACCCTCGTCATGACAACGGATAGGTTTGTAGCGATCAAATATCCTCTTAAGGCCAAAACATTTTGCACCGTGTCTCGCTCGTGGAAGGTACTCTTAACCGGGGCCATTCTGATCGTGTGCAAGAACCTTCATCTTGCCTGGACTGTGCGTTTACACAACGGCCAACTTTGCCTGTTTCTCCCAAAAAACAATGAGGCTTTGTTGACAGCTTGGCCCTGGTTTGACATTATCGTCACCTTTCTTCTCCCCTTCATGATGTTAACCAGTCTTAACACAGTCATCATTAGAACTGTCCTTAAAGCCAACAAAACGCAGAAACGTCTCGTGTCTTTCAGTCTAATTAAGAAAATGGACACGCTACAAGTGCCCGGTCAACCGGCTACACCCCACCACTCCAATCCACAGAAGTCTCATGAACGCCAGCGTCTACAAGTGACAATTATGCTGGTTTCAGTTTCAGTGTTATTTGTTCTTATGACATCCCCGTATAAAATCCTCTTACTGTTTGATCTTTTTATTGGACAGAACAGCGAGGTTGTGTCATCTGCGTGGTACGTGCTTCTAACTCACGCGTTTCAGCACCTTTATTATACGAACAGTGCGGTGAATTTTTATCTCTACTGTCTCAGCGGGCGGATTTTCCGGCGACACCTCAGGCATGTGTGCGGATGCACGAGCAAGAAAAAGAAGCGTTCTGACCGGGAAATAGACAGCAACACGAACAGCATGATGACAAGTTTTAACACTCGCAGTGAACTAGCCATTAACAATAACACGCTGAACGGGCAGCTTGCCGTCACCGTCAAAGTCCAGACTGATAAGGATAAACCTCGAAGGCAATCTTGTATCGCCGCTTTTGGAAGGCGGGTGTAGTGGATATCATAATAATACATACAACAGATTATCGAGGAATTATATTTTGATCCAACGTGAAGATGTTGTATTTGTCTTGGAATATGTACACTGTTTCTAATGTCTGCATGAAGACATATTTGGAATACATTTAACGCTACTCATTCATTGTGTTTATTTATTCTGTGAAGATAAAGATATACAATTCTTTAGCAATCTAAGTGTGCCTAACCAGAGCGTTCACGTCGCTGGGTATGGATGAGGAATAACTAGCGATCAAAAACGAATTTTTCCAAAACATTTGAGCACTACGCTCATTGAAAGTATTCCATCAGATGTTCCTCAGTTTCGACATTATATACCTATTTAAAACTTTAAAACAAAACATGACGCCATGCTACCTGCAGACGGTAGTCTAGTTTAACTATAACAATTGTTTACATTTTCCAATATCCGTTATGTCATTCTAGCTAAGCCATTTTCTATGGCCTTTAATAAAAACCATCAAAACGGTAAATTGGTTGATTCAGTTTTAGAACATTATACTCGATCTCCGAACAGCACTTACGAGCACTCTAACCAAATTGGTTCAAAACCCCAATGCCACTGGTACACGTGTAATATGCCGCAAGCTGCAATTATGTGTAAGAGCCTACAACACCAGCACCATCAAATTTACCCTTTTCTGTAAGAGAAAACGCCTCAGCAATATACGCGGATCAAACGTTTGGATATAACGATTCATTTTTACTGCCCCTGGTGTTTTAAGATATGCCGTAATCAATGGCACTTGCATACAGATACTGGTGATACAATATGGGTATTTATTTTCCTGGTTTTCTTCATATAGCCTCTAGTGAAGTATATGTTTATTTTTGCTTTACCTGTACTTAAACACGTGACCTCACACGTGAGGCTGGTGCGTTATTTGACACGTACATAATCTGGCAGTTTATTATTTTAACCTGTAACTGCTTTATGTTATTTTCACCTGTTGACACGGACTAGGATACACCTGTGCTGAGGAGTACAAATTAGTGGCAAAATGCTGTCATGTCCACAGTTACTGGAAAATCTGAAGTTTGTTTTTGGAACTATATTGGCTTAACTAATATAATACTAATCTTCAAGGATACCATTTATTTATTTTGTAACATAAGAAGCAAAAATAATTATATGGGTACTTTTCGGGGTAAAACATACATAACATAGGTAAAGGGCTGTTAATTTGATGATAATTACTTTTAAATTACCCAGATAGTAATTGATTTATTTCGCTCTCTTTAAGGTGTTTTTTTATGTTGATCTGCAAATAGACGCATGGTTGTCCCCAGTGTTTTAATGGCTTCTTACGTTGCATGAGCTAACACATACAACCCGCGCAAGCATAATAACAGAAGTGGACCAAAGTTTGAGTCATTCTATCAGAGATAACATGTTCTTTATGGAGTCTCCGTGTCTAATGGTTTTATGATATCCTGTATATTTAGTGTATCTTTCTGCCTTAAACTGGGTAAATTTTTCATATAGTCTACAAGGAACTCCATCGGCTGGGAAATACTCCCATTTACGGCGAATCCGTCATTTAATTGCTGTCTTGACGCCAATACGTGTTCATCGATTTGTTCGGTTCGCAGAAATCACCATGAAATCTTTTCAGACTCCGTATTCAGATTGCCTAATTGACTTGCCTTATATCAGAGATTACTGATAGTCTATAAATGTTGGATTGTCTTCCTCTGTGTGAACACCATATAGAACTTCTTGCTTCGTTTGAACTTTGGAAATTTCAGCCAATATCCACGGCATTTACTATAAATGGCAATCAAAAAATTCAACTTCAGTACAAATTCATTGATAAGTCAACGTCGGTAATTGTTGGAAGTTCTGGGAAAACTGTGCTGCTTTGTGATTCTAATTCACCTCAAACAGAAGATGATTGTTATTTGATATCGACCTGCATATTGCTTTTCAAATCTCAGTTTGTATCGGTTCCCGTTCTGTGTAACTTACAATAGTTTACGACCTCAGCAGTCAATTATGAACAAAGAATGTTTGCTATCCGTGGTGACTTTTGGCTTTTAAAAGCGTGCTGCGTTACTTTTTCTTGGTTCTATAGCAAAGAATAACATTGTTTGTTCCGAGCTATCTTATTTTTGTTTACCAGAGGAAGCCGTGGACTTACAGGAAGAATATATGCTTTTTAAATATGAAAAAAAAGTTACTCGTTTTACTGTTCGCATACAGTGGGTTTAAAGGTGAGGAGTCCGTAATTAAGGCTAGACAGTGGCTTGGGCGAAGATCACAATACGCGATTGGGGAATAATGTAATTTTTAAATACACACTATATATAGACTGTTGTTGATAGTTTTCTTGTTGATGTGCCTATGTAACAGACAAAAATAGTCGCTCTTTGGCAGCCAAACATTTATCTTCTAAGACACGCAATCATTGAAATGAATGAAAAGGAAGGATCAATATTCAACACAGTAGAAAGAAACCAACACTTGTGATCCATGAAGTGAGTAATATAATATTTACCAACCGCGTTCTTAAAAGAGGTGCATTGGACGTATTTATTTTTACTCGTTTTATAATTACAAGCTCAAGTCATTCTTGTTACTCCACGGTCTACAGTCAAACGTTGTCAACATATTCTATGCCAAAAGGATGGGTCTTCTTTATTGGGTTGTTTTTAAAAACTAATAACATGTATCTTCTTTCAAAAACACTATCAAAATCACTTATTCTAAGATCCTCGTGTTACGAGTTACCGCGCCGGATGTAAGCTCTGTAAAAGTGATTACGGCAAAATGAAACCGTCCGTAATTGCCAGAACAAAGCACTGTCTCCCTATCACTGTGCCCACATCAGTCTCGTACCTAGTGGCTTTAGGAGATAAACCCATCAATCATACGGTTTAACACGTAAACAAGTCGAATATAGCAGCAACCATGAGGTCATTATTAAAATATCGATTCATTGTCTGCTCGGCTGTTTTATTGATAGGCCGCATGAGGTGGGACGGGAGAGGGCAGGGCGGCCAGCTCATCGGTCAAATGCGGCAATGCCTTCACATCATTAAACACCAAAGGATGAAGCAGAGTCCAGAGGCCATTGACGGAACATTTGCCCATTTTTATTGGAAGGCTAAAGGCAGTTTTACTATATAACCAGACAGTTATACATATAGGAACACATTTTGATCTTTCTAAGTCTGTAATAGACGTTCAAAGTTAAAACAATATTTTCAGATGGTAAAATGAACAGGTGCGAGTTGTTAGAAATAGATCAAATGTTTGGAAGAGAACATTTGTTCAACATACAGTTACATGTGTACATGTGTAACCATTTAATGGATCTTTCCCTTGAAAGGGAAACAGGTATGCCAACGTGTATTTCAATTAGTGTGAAAAATCAGTACTGAAATAATATAAGATAAAAAGAAACAAAAACAGCACCCCAGGAATATTGTGGTTGAGAAGATAGCTAATTCTTTAATACAAAACCAATACAAAAGCCATTTGGTTTCTAAACTCCATCAATTAGCTAGATATTAGATTTGTCCAAATCTATAGTGTGAAGTAGACCAGTGGCATCCTAGTTACACTATGGATGTCTTTGACCACTTGTTGATGACATATTATAGTCCTCGTAGTTACGCAATAATCTTATTTTGAACAACAAACACTCTGAGATTGGATAAGTGTCTGGAGGACCGTGGTTTCAATCAAATTGTCTTCTACGTCAAGGGTTTCGTCTTACTTTACAAAGACTTCGGAAGTGAACGACTTTAGCAGAATTCCCTGCAGTACAGTAAACCAATTAGATGATGTATAGTTCAATACGTCGGAATGGATTCCAATTAAGGCTGCATGTGAAGCAAGGCATTTTTGTGTACTACAGCTTTGTCATTTCCATTAAAAAGGTGTAAACTTTTCATTGCATAGGTTCCGGGAATTGTGGTATATGACAACCGTGACGTTTGGGTGAACGCCAGACTGAAGTTAAGAATCATAGCTTTCACCAGAATTATTTGCATATGCGCATTAATTAAAGAGATGAATCCTTAATTTGCCACTGAAATGTTTAAGTTTGAGGATTTTTCAGTATGTGCTATTAGTAAAATATGGTTTAATCTTCTGTCTGTTTGTGATTTAGGCATTCTTTTACTAACCTCATTTCACTCAACGAGTTTGTGTTTAAAAGGTTTCAGTGAAGCTGAGTCAATACACCGCGAGTCCCAACCACTCACCATCTGTCATTTATGAAACCATGTGCTCTGGTTTCAAAATCTTACTTCATTGTCAAATAATCCTCGGTATATTATAAACACTTTTCATTGACTCATCATTTTTGTCAATGTTATATTGAAAGTATTAATCCTAAATGTGAAGCACAGCTTCTACCTGTACATGTGCCTCCAGGTGTGTAGCCTAAAAGAGGACATTCTCCTTCGGAAGCGGCACAGACAAATTCAACCATATTATACTCCATATCAAAGCCCCTTTTACCCTGGAGCACTTCCATACAGGGGAAGAGCAAAGGTATAACTTCCAGATATCAAGATAAATGTTCACAGGAGAGGAGTGGCTTTAATTAGCCGTCAACAGGTGTAGAAATTATTTCAGTTCCTGGGTCAGGTGTGGCAGTTCAATTAACAGACACTGTACCACTGCATAGAATACAAAATAGCGAGCTGTTAAGATAAACTTGAAAGAATGCATTACAAGTTTTAACTGCAGAGCGTAAGACAAAGGATGCACTGACATGCAGTGCTCGATCGAATTAGAAAAGGCATCTGAAATATAAGTTAATTCTAGATGAGAACTTGGAGATGCATATATCTGTGAAAAGAAACCGCTTTGTACGTTGAATGACTAATTCGTAGAAGGGTAACGAAATTATTCAAGTGCAGTACATGAGGAACAGCTTTTCTGTTTTCCGTTTGCTCTTATAATTACACACTTTTCAAAAAAAATACATGCTTTTCAAGACATTACCTTTTGTTGATGGCATGAAAGCTATTTTTGCTATACAAACTCATAGTAATAAAATAATAATAATAATAATAATAATTTGTTTATTTCAATATCGACCTCTCCACATACCATCAGATAAACCCACGCTGCACGTTAAAACACGCCGTTCTGTCCAATATATCTTGAATACACACTGCATGTCATCTACCGGTAGTGGTGATGCAACCAAATAAGTACTAATACCTGTATATTGTTATTTTATCAGACAGTATATACCAATGATTACATGTACGGGGAAATTGCTGAAAATCAGTATAAGCCTTTGACATACATGTACGTAGATATATGGTAGAAAAAGATTATTAACACAGCGAAAATAATACTTCTAGAGATATTTAAGGCATTTTACGGATATCAAAATGTGTCAGAATCAAAAAGCTTACACCCCATTTCCANATGCCATTTTCTATGGCCTTTAATAA